TGTCAAACTAGGAGAACAATTACAGCAACATCATCTTCTCCGTCTTTCTGTGAACTGTAATCCTCTACCAATCAGAACACATTATAAGCGATTGTTCTCCCAAAAATGAAAATCTTGTCATCATTAACTCAATTTACTGTTACATTGTTCCAAACCTGTATGACATTATTTCTAAGAAGGTTTCACCTTCACCTTTTGTTCCTTGTAATCAAGGTCAGTGGGATTGCAACAACATTTAGATCCCACTCACTTTCTGAGACTTTTCAAATGTCTTCATTTGTGTTACAAAGAGGAAAGTCATACAGGTTTGGGACAATGTAACTTTAAGCACTCTTGGCTAGAATATAGCATTAACCTATTGTGTCCTGTGGTCCATTTTAAAGATCCAAAATTGTTTGACCTGGAAAGTACACTGACTCATGACACAAATATATTTCAGCAACCTGACTTCCTTTTAAATTACTACCTGCAACAACCTTTTTGGCTCAGTTGTCTTGAGTACAGACCTGTGGCTTATTTCAAAATCATTAAATTTGCACTGGATGGGAAGAGGGATTGCCACATTTTTGGATGTGATAAAACCTGCTCATGAGTCATGACACAATCTTGGTTTCAGCGCCAGAGCAGTGGCAATCGTAAGCACTTGAGTGATATTCCCAGTTAATGCTCTTTCATGTAATAGACCCTAATTGACTGAAGATATCTGGGAGAATCACATTTTGAAGAATCACGACTCCCTAGCATCTCAGTTTTGGTTTCTGGGAAATGGCAGTCTTTGCTCGGTAGCGAGAATGCTCATCAAAAGCTTTTTAAGGTTCATTTGCACATAGTTTCTATGGATGGAAAGTTAACACATCATTGCGAGGCCCATTAGGTGCGGTGGAGCATGAGCCTCTCAACCGGCTAATGTTTGTTCATATCAGGAAATCCCCATGTGTTTTTTCAGCAGCTTTATCATTCTTTTTTCCCCCTTTCTCTTTTCTTGTGTCTTATGTTCCACGAAGCCTTGCACTTTATTGTCTAGTGCTGCACATTTTATTCTTTTTATTTTGTGCTTGCCTTTATTGGCAACTTTTCATCCATGTTTTTTTTTTCTATTAAACATTCTGTTTTTGATTTCATCATTGAGACCAATCATTTAATGGATCTATTGCCATGTACACCGCTGAAATAATAGCCCTATCATGATTTTGGAGGTAGTCTGATTGTTTAAACCTAGCAAGCATTATCCCATATGCTTTTATGTGATTGTCTGAAACAATAGGCGCAGGTTTGCTTGTATTGGTGACACAGTGTGTAACAGGATCCACGCCACTCCACTACAGTCTACAGTTACCTTATCATCTGGTACAACTGTGACACTTCTTTTTGCAAACCTTTTATGCATGTCGTATTTAATGAAATCAAGTGAATTTGTAGATGTTGAGTGCATGCCTACACAAAAGAAATTCGATGTGGAAATTACATCATCTAATCACATTTCTCCATGCACACTCATACCAGGAACCCTCTTGTTCTTGAAATGATTGTAGCACTGTTTTACCAGGAACCGTATTTATGAAATCAGCATCACACTTGCTACACTCTTGATTGCCAACTTATGCTCTTTTTAGAACTTTCACAGAGGTCTGTACTAACAGACACCATTATGGATTGTGTCTCTTACCTCTCTAATGAAGCTCATTTTGCATCTAAGAGGCCAGGTGCTTTCAAATGTCACAAAAGATTCTCAACCTATCCTCTCTCTGACACTTTAGTTAAGCAGGTCCCCGCTGCCCCATACTCCAGCCGCCCCTTGAGAGGTGTAACAGAGACGGCAGATGAGAGGAGAGATAGTCATTGAATACAGGCGCACTCCTGCACATTGTGCCAGGCTGTGTCTGGTGCAAGCTAACACCCTGTTGTGTTTGAGGTTCGCTCGTGGCCGACCGATGCATCAAATCAGCATCAAATGGGGGCATTCTCAGATAGTACCTAGAGAACAGAGCCAGCACACCTTTCTTAGACTGCTATAGACCTCCTGAAACTTTAATGATATGCTGCTCTTGTTCTCTTTTGAAGACTGCGCTACATTCTGTGTTGGCAGTTTTGCCTGGGTGAGATGATAATATGCTCATACATAAAGCCATCCACTGCTGTCTTGTCTCTCAGTGGAATTAATGGCTAGTAAGACTGATACTGCAGCTGCGTTCTTCCCGAGTGCCGTGACCTTATATAGAGATACGAATGGAGAGAGCTAATCAACTGCACAGGTGGCTGGTTGCTGGGCTACAGGTTCAGGCAAATTTGCCACTGTCTGTGACCTACCAAAGCTTTTGTAGACAACCGAGTGTCTTTCTCGGTGGTGATCTCTAGATAGAGCAAGAGTTTGGTAAAAATGATGATGTGTAACAATGTGTGAAATCTAGAAATAGTTAGAATTACTCTTGCATGCTGGTGGTTTGCATAAACGACTGGCGCTACTTCTGTTCCTGCTCAACAATGCAGTCTGCCCTGTCACACTTTGACTGTCTTGACTATTTATATGATTTGAAAGGTCAGGTAAATCGGAAAACTTCTGAAATGTGTGAAATATTTGCCAAAATATGTGTTTAACTAGGTGATAAATAAATAGTGTGTTCAGTTTTATAAATGCAAATGGTTATTAAAAAAAAAAAAGACAATTGTGACCCTGGACCACAAAACCAGTCTTAAGTCACTGGGGTATATTTGTAGCAATAGCCAAAAATACATTGTTTGGGCCAAAATTATTGATTTTTCTTTTATGTCAAAAATCATTAGGATATTAAGTAAAGATCATGTTCCATGAAAATATTTTGTAAATTGCCTACTGTAAATATATTTAAACTTAATTTTTGTTTAGTAATATGCATTGCTTCATTTGGACAACTTTAAAGGCGATTTTCTCAATATTTTGATTTTTTTTGCACCCTCAGATTCCAGATTTTCAAATAATTGTATCTCGGCCAAATATTGTCCTATCCTAACAAACCATACATCAATGGAAAGCTTATTTGTTCAGTTTTCAGATGGTGTATAAATCTCAATTTCTAAAAATTGACCCTTATGACTGGTTTTGTGGTCCAGGGTCACAATTATGCATCCAGTATGTGTTTTTGCATTCAGAAGCAGCAGAATTGAAGAGGATGCAGATATCTCTGGGATTTTTAATGCATGACTGCCCAGTTTTGTAGTGTGTGTATATATAGTGTTTTCATTTGCTATAGTGTAATGTCTTAGAATGTTCTTTACATGGGGTCCTTCCTGAGCAAATAATTATGTATTTGATATATTATGTATTAATTTGGTTAATTAGCACATTGTGTAATTACATTTAAAGGCTTACCATACATGCTGAGAGTGTGTTTATACTCAGAATACTTTTTTTGAGGATTCTTTGATGAATAGTAAGTTCGAAAGAACAAAATAAATTAATTTGAAATAGAAATATTTTTTACCATTATAAATATCTTTACTGCCACTTCGAAACAATTTAATGCATCCTAAATAAAAGCATTCGTTTTTTTTCTTTCAAAAAAATTTAATTTACTGACAAACTTTGCACGGTAGTGTTTACTACAGCTATATCTAAAACGCACACACACACACACACACACATATATATATATATATATATATATATATATATATATATATATACAGCTTTAGCTAAATCTATATCTACAGCTATATCTATAACTAATATTTATATATCTACAGCTTTAGCTAAATCTATATCTACAGCTATCTATAACTAACATCTATATCTACAACTTTAGCTAAGTCTATATCTACAGCTATATCTATAACTAATATCCATATCTACAGCTTTAGCTAAATCTATATCTACAGCTATATTTATAAATATAGCTATATCTATATATATTCAAACAAGGTGATTATCACTATTGTTTCCACTTCATGCAGTAGTAAATGAAATGAATTTACTTAAACACCAAACCTCCTATGGAACCAATTTTACTTAAAGTAAATTTCTGAGTGATCTTTATAGTTTTGAGTCAGTGAAAACGGCCTCTTCTTTATGAGCACAGTTGCAGCTGTGGTTGTCTCTGAGGTGTTTGAACTTGTACCTATAGAGGCAGGTGTGCTGTGGTTTCTGTTAACCTGTGAACCGCAGTGTCTCGCTGCTCCATGATGTCACATGGGACTCTGGCTGCAGCCTCCAAGTGTGTTCCAGCCAGGGTTGCCATAGTGGCGGAACAGACGCCCCGTGAGAAAGAGTCCAGACTCCCTTGCCATGATAATCAGTGTCTATTTATAGACAGCACTGTTTATTGCAGTGGGAGCGTTACGGCAATAAAGAGAGGGTACGTCTGAAATGTCTTTGTCCTGTGAGCGTTGAACATTATTGGCTTGTTATTTTTAATTCAATATCATTCTAGTGATGGTAAGATAATGATGGGTGGATGCACTGGCTGGTATTGGAACTGAAAAAGAGAGTGTTTGTGTACAGTGTTTGTTTGCACTGTATTCAGTTGTTTTACTGACACCACACACAAACAGCACACACTTTGATCACCCACCGTTTACAATGAAGTCACACATGGGGATTTCCTTTGCTCTGTTCTCACTTTGCATTCTGCGTGCAACGCTCGCTTGCGGACATGAAGGTTTAGAGAAAAATGCTTGCACTGTATTATCAACACGCTTGTCCCTCATTGCTGTACATACTCAAACTACTGTGGCATCTGACTAGGCACTTTGAACAGCTCTTTTTCTCTGAAGGTTTTTTTTTTTTGTGCCTTTTTGGTGACTCACGTCATCCTGTTTTTGCCTCAAAGGATTTTAATCTACAAAGAACATCACGTTAAGTTAATAAGAAAGGTTAATTTCTCTTCCTTCAAAGGTATAAAAACTCATTAGAGGATAAATGGTATAAATAGAGGATATAAATAAAAATAGAGGATAATTTAAAAAGCAAACAGATGGCTCAATGAGTTGTCTCTCACAGCAGTTGTTACACCAGTCGCCATCTACAGGTGAAGCTGGTGAAGTACATCAGTAAACAGTTAGAGTGGAAGCAGAGCGTTCCAGAGAGAGACAAACCACTGGCGCTGGACTCTTACCCACAACTCACAGACTGGCTGTACACCATCAACCTCCGGCCAGAGCTCATAGAGGTACCAATATGTGTGTTTGTACTCAATGTGTTTGTTTCTTAATTCCTTTATTGTCCATATTTCCCTGCTTCATGACCTTTATTCAGTTAATGGGCCATTTTAGGTATTACATTTTTGTTTTATTCAGTATTTTATTTCATTTTAATTTATTTTAATTGTAATTAATTTTATTTTATTATCTCTTGAGAGACGTTTGATATATTTTACTTCGATTTAGCGGTTTTTAGGAGTGCAAAACTAAAAAATAAAAGTAAGAAAACATTACCAAACTAGTTAGAACATCAGCTCTTTTATGTTATTTTATTTTTTATTTTATTTTATATTATTTCATTTTATTTTACTTTATTAATTTATTTGTTTTGTTAATGTCCTTTTATTTTGAGTTATTTCATTTATATTGTTTTGTTTTGTGTTTTGTAAGGGTTTTGTTTTACGTATATAAATAAGTGTTTTTTCACACATTAAAAATGTAGAATAAATAAAAATACATAAAAATACATATATATATATATATATATATATATATATATATATATACCTTTATTATTTTGATTATCTACTAACCATTTTATTAAACACAATAAGTCACTTCTGTATAGCATGGCCTCTTGTACCTTATTGCTTAAATAAGGAAATGTTGCGTTTTTTATTATTCAGCAATATTTAACACACAATTTAATTACAATTGAATAATTTCTTTTTAAAATAGGCTTCTTAAACTGAAGCTTCTACTTAATGAATGTCTGTTTAAAAAAATGAATATTGGAGGATTCGGACAGGAGAGGGAAGATGTTTTGCTTGCTTGCTGCTGAGAGTCTCTGTGGTGTTTCAGTCCTCTGTGGATTCACACACCTGATCCCACTCCAAAGCTCAGAATGTGCAGCGTCAGCCACTGTGTCAAAAACTCTCTCGTCAGTCTATTTTTAGACTCCAAAAGGGGTCTCTCTTTCTCCATCTCTCTGCCCACCACCCCATACTGTCATATACACAAAGCTGACCGCATGACAGCACCGCATTCGTGACTGCCTGGCAAATGCGAAGACTTGTTTGTCCTCATTAGGCACGGAAACAGACAACACAGGGAAATAAGCAACATATGCAAGACTGAGGAACAAAACTTTAAAAATAGAAACAGTTTATCCCAGTGGGGACAGAAGGGGTCACTTTGCGGCATGCCTCTGATTAGCTGACTACTTCACTTCGGTCACTGCGGTAGGACAGTGTGTTTTTTGTGTTTTTTTTATTATGTCTTCTCCAGTTTTCCTCTCTCTTCCATGTCCCAAAATACTTGCCTTGTCGTTGTATATTCGCAACAGTTTATTTATGTCTGTCTGCATCAGCCTGTGGCCAGGTTTTGCTTCAGGACCCAGATTTTACATTTGACATAAGTGATGACCCACTAAAATACATAAATTGTACAAACGTAAACAAAAATGACTTTAAAGGTGTTAATATTGCTTATTAAATTAAGAATTTTAATAATTAAAGAAAACTAAAATCACTAACTATACAAAACTTATGCGTAGTCTGGATAATATTTCTCTTACTTTGTATATATTTTCAGTTACATATGTTGACATATGTATATTGATGTGTGATAAGCCTAATTATTTAACCTAAATATGCAGTATTTATTTGATTTTATTTGTTCTTATTTTATTTGATTTGATTTTTTACTTATTTTCATTTTGCATTGTTTATTCCTATAACCTGAGACCCCATTTTGAGTAGTGACCCACCACTTGACAATCCCTGCCCTAACTCAATAAGTTTGTTCTCTAACGTGTCACACCAGGCTGCTACAGTGTGATTCACGGGGCAGGAATGCATGCATGTGGCAGGACACACACGTGGGCAGCCGGCCCCTCTCGGAGAGGACAGCAGGGAATTCAGTTGCCCCAGTGTACCAAAGTATAATAGGATAGTGCTTTCTCAGGAAAAGCAGAGGAATGCTATTTCTCCTGTGGGCAGGCAAGATGGGACTGTATTTGACAGTGTGGTTGTATTTGCATGATTAGACATTTTAGAGAAGCGTGTTCCATTGGAGATGTTTTATGTACATGTAAGTTCTGGTGCATCTACAGAACTACCAGGAAACACCTCTGCTGTCTTCTCAGTTATTGCTACTGCTTTGTGTGCATTTGTTTACTTTATAATTACTAGAAATGGAGAACTATCTAGGGTGTCATCATACTGTGACCTGGCACGTGCACAGGTAGGGCTCAATCTGTGCAGAGCACATGCCCTTTTTGCCCTTACACTCCATAGTGCCGTTTTCTGGTGGTGGTGTTTTTGTTTTTTTTCTTCAACAAATCAAGGCTATTGGTCACCCTTTACGTCTGTCTGTCTGTTTTAGAAATATTTAGCCAATGAAAAGTATTAAAAAGAGCTTGTGACTAAATCTTGTTGGATCCGCTCAAACTGTCAGTAAAACCTCATAACTCCGCCCCCTATCTTTACTGAATGAAATGAAGTTCCACAGCAGCTGAAGGAAGTCTTGGAATGGTAAATAAAGATCTTGTTGTTTGAATAAGTACAGCGTTTTCTTTACGCAAGAAACACTATATAAAGGCTCATATTTTATGTATTTGGGGTCTGAGACGTGGGACCGGAGAGAGAGGGCTAGCATTTGCCATCCAGTCATAGCCAATAGCCTACACTTAAATAGCCTGTGCATACAGTAGCATTTCATCTTTTATAAAATGAGATTTTGGCCAAATGTATTTTACAACAGGAAAAACTGAGTGCCCATATAGCTACAAAAAACTTTGTAACCTGTTGATGAAAACGTAATGTGATGCCGCCGTTTTAAGGATGGACAAAATGCACATTTGCACACATTCGCTGGTCAAAAACCCTGTAACTGCATTTGCGTTTGACACAAAGCGGCTGAGTGATCCTCGTCACCTAGGTAAAATATATTTCTAAGAAATGTCATCTTTTATTTATGACTGCTGTGCTGACACACTTAATTTATTAACATTTAATCATATTATATGGTCGCATGGTTAATTCATGTTTACACTGTTAATATGCATGCGTATTTGCTAGCTATAGCTAATGTTTGAATCAAGTATTCTATCTCCGCTCGTCTTCACATGTATAAATGTAGTAAAACATGGTTTTACTAATGTTGTAGTAAATAAAAAAACAAACAATACAGAATCGGATCACTGTGAAATCTTTATATTTTATCATGCAGAATAATATATATTACATTATATACATAGCTAAAAATCTTTTTCTTCAAACTTATTTTTATTGAACTTTGTGTGCAAAGCAGATAATTTTTTTTTATATATGTATGTCCTCAAAATATTGGATGAGAAAAAAATTTGTAGTACAAAAATAAAACAACGCCAATATTACAAAATATAACATTAAAAAGTGTATAAATCACTTGTTTTTCTAAAGAAACATTGTCCAACAGCGACACCAGCAGGTAAAGTTACAGCAGGAGTCCGCATCTCTCTCGCCTCCCCTGAGCCCATTGAGTTTTAACTAGGGCTGCACAATAAATCACATGCGATATTTAACGCGCATCTTATCAGTAAAGCCGGTTCTGTAATCAGCGGTAAATCTCCATCACCTGCGTGCCTTCACATTGAGCAGCATTAACTACACAGAGCCGTTGTTCACTGACGAGCTGCGCAAAACCACGTTCATATTCGCGC